CAGTAACACTCTATCCTGACAGAGATTCCTCATCTATCATCCTGTGCCTCTTGCTGCCCTGTTTCCACTCTGAATGAAATTAAGGAACTCCCCCAGCACAGTAGCTGCAGACTTGATAATTTCTAGATCTCTGCCAAACTAACCACAGAAATCCTTCTCTGTGTCTGCTATTTAGGAACCTAGAGAAGTATCATAGCCCCATTGTTTTCCAAAGTCTCCCAGCTGCTGAGCCCCATTCCAGGAAGTCCCAGCTCAAGGCCTTCCTCCTCCAGGAAACTCCACATTCCCTCCCTGCACAAGACTCATTGAACCTTCCCCTGGAACATTTATTTCTTGATGTTTTACCCTTAGACAGTTGGCCAGCTTCCTTCTGCCTCTCTCTCTTCCCTAGGCTTTCCATTCTCTCTCCCAAGTAGCTTTCTCAGTCTCACCAACATGTCTTTGTGAATCCCAGAGGCACTAACAATAATATAAATAGAACGCAGTAAATGCTAAATGGTAGTGGAATGTGACAGAGACAGTAGGGAAGGAAGGAGGAAGGACATTGCCTCCCCTCTACTTTCGCAACATTGTCAAATTGTCAATGTTTCCTCACTGAGGGTCTCTATCCATTTAGAAAACATTAGAGATGTGTGTGTGTGTGTGTGTGTGTGTGTGTGTGTGTGTGTGTGTGTGTGTGTGTGTGTGTGCTTATTGTCATGCACAGATCCAAGTCTTCATCCTTGTTGTATGTGAAATAAACCTTCCAGAACATCCAAAGCGTTTAAGGGCCACTCCCTAGCATCATTCTGGCAGCCTCATCTTCTTTCATCCAACATTTGTTTAAAAATCTCGAGGGAAACACGGTTTTCCTTCATCATTTCCCCATAATTGTCTGTGTCACTTTACAAGACTAGGTTGAGAGTTGCCAGGTATGGAATTCTGTTCTCAAAACTTTAATACATTTACACATCTGTATATTTATATATGTGTTTGCACACATGTGCCAGAGCACGGTTGTGGGTCAATGGACAAGTTGCAGCCATGAGTTCTCTACTCTCACCATGTTCATCCCAGGGTCATACTCAGGAGTGCTAATTCTGTGGATTCCTTGACTCTGGGTGGAGTATAGACAGCTCACAGCTAAGAGGAATGTGGATGACAACAGAAGGCAGAGGTGGCGACCTGGACCAAATTTGAATCATACAGAACATATCATCCTCATTAGAAGAGTTCATCAGCACCAATGAGGCATGGGCAAGCCATAGAGACTGTCTTGACATTCACCACAACATATGGGCTCTTGGAGAGAATAAGAAAGAGACAATAAATAATTGTTAGCCAGGCATCTATAAAAGATGTGTTGGGGCATTTGGGGAGTAACAAAGGTCTTAGAAAATCTACAAATTCAAGATGACCACATACTCTTAATCTGTTTTTCTCATCAAGATTTAATATTGGCTTATTTATTTCTATGGTTCCTGTTGCCAAAATAAAATAAGAAAAAGTCCAAAATCACTCAAATGGAACACATAGTAATATATTGATATGAGTGCATCAGATGGAGATATTCTAGCATAAATGAGAAATGGGAAGACAGTTGTCTTAGTTTCAGTGGGTCAAGACTTGGCACCCCCAAATACATGCAACTCAGAGAACAATTTCTGGCAGATTTTTTTATTCTTTCTATCAATAAGGTGGGTCCCAGGGATATAAATGCATGTCTCCAGGCTTGTCTGCATTACCTTTACCTGCTTAGACATTTTCCAGTCCATCATCAAAGCCACAGATTTTAATAAGCTACATATCTCTGTATATGGTCTCTGTGTATATCTATCCTAATTTGGAAATATTTATCCTCAAAATAAATGTTTGTCACAGTTAATGAATGGCAAGAATCAGAGTCGGGAGAATTTTAAATCTTCTACGATAACTAACAGTGTGATGTATTTCACTTCATAGGATGCAACAGGGTGAATTTTCCATCCCCGTCATAAATAATGTACTAATTTTGAACCTAACATATTGCACGTGCTAGGGAGGTATTCTGTCTCCAAGTTGTATTCCTGGCTTTTAACTCCATTCATCTGCTACAGCTACTACAGGGCAAACATCAAGATGAGCTTTAACTGTTAATTTTGCCCTCATAAGAATGACCATGTGAGTAGCTGACAGAATGCTTTGAAGACTAGGCATGCTTATCTGAGATAGAAGAAGCGCCCCAGTACACATTACACACTCTACACAGTTTAGTCTGACAAAGGTTGATAGTAAACTGTTATCTCCCTCCACAAATGCAAGGAGAAGAAACCGTGTTAATCTATCTGTAGCATTTATCAAAAGAACCAAAGCTATGCTGAGGATTCACTTGGAGGTAAGGCATGACTGGACACAGGCTCCTTCCCAATAATGGAAAGATAGACAGGGAAACACATGCTGCAGTTCAGTGATTGGTAGTGTAGGATGAATGAAGTCTCAGCTGGTTCCAGTGTGTCTACAGGTATTATGTCAGAGTCAGTGAAGAATGAGAAAGTGACCAATGAAAAGAAGGAACTGAAGTGAACCACCTGCTTCTCTGGCTTTAGAGATCTTAAAAGCTATGGTTTGAGAGACACCGACTTGAATTTACAAGGATAATTGCTTCACACATTAACTCTCTGACTTACTGTGAGTCTCAGGTCAGATCCATTCCAGGAGAACTTCAGAAGAATAAAGCCCACATCTGAAAGAAACCTTTCCTCAATACACTGTGACTTCTGCTGTGGTGAAAGTGTAGCATCAACCATCCCTCTCCCTTTCAAGCCTTGTAGAGATACACTCTCCGCCAGAGGCATGTGGCTTTTGCTGCAGATACCATCCACCCAGACAAATGTGAAGTTTCCACTTAACACTGCTTAGCTGGTGTATCACAGGTATATCTTACCCCATCTCCATCCCCAGGCGGGTCTTAAAAGTCGGCATTTCATCTGATGGGCCTACTCTGCATTGTCATCTAAATGAGAGGTGACATAACTGTTCCAACTCTGACTTAAGAGATGCTGAGCGATGATCCTGAACCCAGGAGCACTCTGCTTGAATGCCTGGCATCCCAAGTAATCTCCCATGCCTACCTCATTGTCCTGTCTCTACAGTTCTCCAGAAATATCTCTCTTCGGTTAGGTGTAATCCAGTCCAACTAATGCACTAGAGAGGCTAGAAGGACAAAAATCAAGTGCAGGGTCTGGAGAGATCACTCATCCTTTAAGAGGATGTGTAGCTCTCCCAGAGGACCCAGAAATCAGCTAATAAACTTCTGTGACTTCAGTTCCGTGTAGAATCCATTGCCCTTTCTGGCTTCAGTGCAAACTGATTGCTTGTGGTGCATAGAAAACAGACAAAATACCCATATACATAAATACAAGTAAATGAATCTCAAAAATTTCCATGCAAAATGAATGGTCAAGGCAAGAGCACATTAAAAAGACCACATCTCAATATGTCTTAGAAGGTTACTACCCCTGCATTGCACTGTCACTGGTGCTGTATTTCAGGAAAAGGATGGCAGATATCTATAGGTTTCCTCATTTCTTCTATACTCCTGTAATGAATGTTCTCACTTCCTGAGATGCATTAGAAAACATAGGTGTATTTCTGAAAAATCTGATATGAATGATCACATCATGAACATGTATGTATCTATTCTCTGTTTTTTGAAGTAGCTAGACATGTGAAGTCAGGTGTTTTATATGGATCTTTTTCCATCATGAAGTGGATATTCATGGAGTAGGCCATGCGATTCACACCCAAGATACTATCTTGGTTTGTAACCCTGTCTAGCTGAGAACTCACAATGTAGCCTAAGCTTCCTGGGACTTGCAGAGATCCACCTCTGTCTGTTGAGTTCTAATGTTACCACACCTGACTACAAAGCTACTTTCGGAATGAAGAGAATGAACCAGGTTTATCTGTCCCCTATGGGAGAACTTACCCTGTTGGAGGAGGGCAGGAGGGGTGGGGGAAATGTGGTAGGCAGGAGAGGGAGGACCGATGAGAGTTGGATCTGTGGTTGGTAAGTAAAGTCAATAAAAATTTAAAGGAAAGAATGGAGAGTTGGAATTTTTTTTTATTTGTGAAATTACAGAAATTTGACAGAATAGGGCCTTAAAGGGGTGTTTAGTATATCCAATGTATAGCTTTAGCAAAATATAAAATCAAAGAAAGAACAAAGCACCAAAAAATAAAAAAAACAGCAAAACAAAACAAAGAACAACAAACCCTAAATTCATGTAAACCCCAAAACAAACCAAAACTATTTACATAAGAAGCTTTCTCTTCATGCAGATATCCTGCAGTCTCTGGCTGACTTTGGATAGAAGTTGGAAGACAACCTTGAATTGAAATACCCTCTTCAAGACAAGTGTAGTTATGCCACTTAGTGGCTTCTAGGTTAAGTCCTTGCCAAAGTTGATCTTATGCCATGTTGGCCATTATATGATTCTGTCTGCCAACATGTGTCTGTGTGCCCATTCAAGAGCAAAAAATGACACGGGGAGCATCTGTTACCAAAAGACATAACAGCTCATGGTGACATCCTTCCTAAATCATCTCTCAGAACAATCCACTTCACCATCACCTGTGCATGAAATTGAGTAGTTCCCACACTGGACTGGAGTGAGAATATGATGTTTCCTTTGTGTGGTCTGTCTGGATAGCAGCATGACATCAACACAGTCTCTGTTGACATATCTCCCTCCACATATGAAGGGCTGAGGACTCAGTCAGCTACCAAAAGTTTGTAGCAATAAACTTTCAGAGTAACTATGAGTGGAAACATATTCTGTCTCCATGTTGTTGTGGCCCTCACTGGGAACACTTGCTGGTAGATGTCAGCTTTTTCTGCATAACTCTTGGTGTTTATTTTTTTGAATCTCAAGCATCTTCTTGATGGTTTCTTTATTCCATAACTAGTGAGTCAATAGACACATGGATCAGCTTATGGATGGATGATCTTCAGGGCAGATGATATTTCCCTCACTGGTGATTTCACAACTAGTAGTACATGTCTTGTTCTGAGGAGGCCTTGATCATAGAGTGGAGAATGTCAGGGTTTCTAGTTGACTATGGATTCCTTCAGCCTCCTCAGTTCTCATAAAGGGTGCTGTGAGAGAAGAAAAGGCAATCAGATCTAAAAACAGCCTTGCTAGGTCACTAGCTAGATAAATTCAGGGCCTATTCACACATAGGAAACCAGAATCAAGGAAGAACTCCACCCCACAAATGCCGTGTTGCTGGGGATGGGATGTCATGATGTCTCACTTGCTTATGACACTTAGTGCTCCTGCTGCAGCAGCTCTGTCGGCAGGAAGCTCTCATCCTGATCTGTGGATTGTTCCAGCTCATGTTGGAGATTTTCTGACCTAGAGGAGGAAGTTAGTAAGGGCAGAGTCCGGGTGGGGATCCACCACATCACCTGTCATTCAGTGATATCACAAAAACTCAATTGTGCTGGACAGTCAACACTGATCTTTGGAAGCAGTCATTGTATGTACACCTAAGGAATAAGTGTCACAGAATAGTTGAACCTTGAATTATTTTCTGCCCTTAACAAGTATCAGATGTTGATATGAGTACTATATGTACTGTGCTCTAATGAGAAAGACCTGGACTTTTTCCTACATTATAGAGACATCATTTAAATAAAAGGAGTAGCATATTAAAGTCATACATAATAGCACAATGGAGATACACAGACTGTTCATGATGAGTTTCTCATCAAATACCTCATTTTTTCTTGTCCAATTTCTGTTTATTTCTTTCTAGGCAGTGTTAAAATATGCATCTCTGGCCGGGCGGTGGTGGCTCATGCCTTTAATCCCAGCACTCGGCGGGCAGAGCCAGGCGGATCTCTGTGAGTTCGAGGCCAGCCTGGGCTACCAAGTGAGTTCCAGGACAGGCGCAAAGCTACACAGAGAAACCCTGTCTCGAAAAACCAAAAAAAAAAAATATGCATCTCTGGCTGACTAGATAGATATTCTAGGATGGCTACAAGAGGCCAGAGATTTCCTGCCTGTGCTCCCAAAGTGCTTGGATAAAAGACATGAACAATGACATACACCTGTCCTTATTCCTGATTTTAATTGATATTATTTTATTTTCCTCTCCATGTTGTACAATGCTGTCACAGGTTTGATAGAGAAAACCTTAAAATTCCAAGCTGTGTTCCTTCTTTTCTTTTTTAGAGGGATTACATGAGTAAGGGTGGTAAATATCATGATGGGGATATCTACAGAAACAACTGAACCAAGCTCAAAAGAACTCAGGAAATTTAGACTGACAGTTGTGAACTTCTGCATATGGGGGCCTGTTGTGGAGCTGGTTGTGTTTGAGGGGCCCCTGGCAGTGTGATCAGGATCTATTCCTGGTGCATGAGCTGTCTTTCTGGATCCCATTACCTATGGTCGGACACCTTGCTCTTGCTTGATAAAGTGGGAAGGGGCTTGCTCCTGCCTCAACAGAATGTATCAGGCTTAACTGTCCTACCATGGGAGAACTTACCTTGTTGGAGGAGGACAAGAAGGGTCAGGGAAGAAGGTGAGTGGGGAGTGGGAGGAGGGAAGAAAGGGGGATCTGTGGTTGGTATGTAAAATGAATAAAAAAAATTTTTAAAGTCCACCTCACTTTATATACATAGACTTATTACAACTTTGCACCCAGGTAATACACAAGATGGAGCCTCTCATGCTAGAGCAGTATTTCTTGAGCCATGTGTCTGAGAACATTGTCACTGCATTGTCTCTGGCAACAAACAAGAAGAGCTGTGTTATCCTTAGGCCTACAGCTGGGAATCTACATCCTGGCACTCTAGAGGAGTCTGTTCCACAACACTCGGTGAAGGTTCAGAGACATCTACCTGGGTTCATCCTGCCAATGACTAAACGTATTATATCCCCAGTACACTTTACATGGGAAATGCTCAAACAATGAAGACAGCCAGTGTGACATCAAATAGTGACAAGGGTGCAAATCTCATCCCACAGGTGCTAATCCTGAATAAAAATGTAATTTCAGTCAGATATGGTGAGGCACACCTTTAAATCCCATCACTTGGGAGGCAAAAGCAGTTAGAGCTCTGTGAGTTCAAGGAAAGCCTGCTGAGAACATACCAGAGAGATCAGAATGGAGTAATGGGACACAAGACCCAGGGAGTATCAAACATATTGTTTGCTGGACAGAAGTTCTTGTTGACGGGACCAGCATAATACTCTGAGTTCTTAGTTGGTCTACTCATGCATGGAGCAGGGAGTCTTGCTGATAAGCAAAAGCCCACAAAGGACAGAGAGCCCTGGTACAGGGGACCCAATTAGCTCCATACTCCAACTTCAGCCTGGGTTCCTACCTCATCTGGGAGACAGTCAAATGATGCTGCAGCTTTATTGCCAGGTGTTTTTGCTGTGTGACCAGCTCCTTCTGCTTCAGCAAGCTCTGGAGTCTCTCTTCCATTCTTTGCTGTTCCTGTTCATTACAAGATTGTGTCCTTATTGGAGGGTTGAGTATACTATAGTCAATACATTCTCACACATGTGCAAACACACACACAGAATTCCAAGAGCTTATTGGTCAGTCAATCTCACGAAATTTCAAGCTCATGGGCACATGAGAAAGCCTGCTTGAGTTCATAAGACAGAGACTGACCAAGAGAGAAACCCAGTGGTCTCCTCTAGCTGTCATCCACATGAAATATGCACTGCACTCCCACATGCCTCTATTACACACACACACACGCGCGCGCACACACACACACACACACATACACACCACGGAGAGACAGAGAGAGACAGAGAAAGGGGTGAAACGAAAACAACAAAGTGATAGAGGAGCTGTTATCTTTAAAAGAAGCACACCAGCCTTTAAGCAAAGTCCCCAAACTCAGCTTTCCATTTCTGAGAACTAAAATTGCCTATGGTGGCATAATCTTGAACTAGTGGAGATTGTTAGAAAAATTTTTACTCTTGAACTCAATTCTATGTATAGCAATCCTCCCATCATAATGACATGTAGCTGTGTGATGAGTGATTGACCTGTTTCTCCCCATTGACTACAGGTTCAAGAAGAGTATCAGGGATTGCATGCCAATGACCAAGATTCTCAGAGGAGACTCACTTCTCAGAAATACTAATGCACAAACACAGAATGAACAATTTTATGTCATGAAGTGGGTGGATGAATGGGTGTATGAATGAGGAAAGTGATGAGATAGAGCACAGGTGTCTGGATGGCTAGATTTGGTAAGGTTACATAAGTAAATGATGCTGGACCTAACTGTGACCCAGCTGCCTGTCCCTACCTGCTGTTGCTGGTTCTGGAGGTCACTGATCTCTTCTTGATCCTTACTGAGCACTTGCAAGTCACCCAAGTGGTGCTTCAGCCTGTCGCAATCCTCCAGTATGATCTCCTTCTCTTGCCTCAGCATATCCAATTTCTTTTTGAGCTGACTCTGCTCCAGTAGGAGCCGGCTCTGCAGATCACTGGAAACACACTCCAAATAGTAAGACCATGTCAGCCACCTCTGGTCACCCACAACACCATGCCTCAACAACCCAACCCTATCCCAGGTTCACAGGAAGATGGAAGCAAGAACCTTTAACAGTAATGACAGTTGCACTCAAGGCCAAAAGCAGAGAACAGTTATTTCCTGCAAGAATCAAACTATTTCTGAAAACCCCCCCAAATAACAGAAATTCATGCACTTCCATAAACAAGAGGAGTACTCCACCTGTCCTAATCAGTCCACTGTCATGAGGAAACACCAGCAGGTAATGTGCAAGTACACTTGGGGAAGTAGGAGACCCAAAGGGTGCACAGATCCCGTATGAGTCAGCTCCTGCCTGACAGCCCTCTCCTGAAGACAATTGCTCATCTAACCAGTGGTTCTCAGTATGTGGGTTGTGAACCCTTTGGGATCTAAGGAGCCTTTCAAAAGGGACACATATTAGATGGCCTATGTAGACATTTACATGTCTACATTAATTATTAATAGTGGCAAAATAAACTTAAGACAATTCTACAAAATAATTTTATGGTTTGGGGTCATCAAAACAATGAATCAATGTATTAAAGTATCACAGCATTAGGAAGGTTAATAACCACTGATCTGGAGGCTACTGAATGACAATATGGTGCTTGGAAGAGCTAGTAGTCTCTTTAAACCTTAGCAAACCTAATTAAAGAGGCATAAGTCCAAAGGCTGCTTGATAATGCTACTGGCTAAGAAGCAGAAATACTAGAAGCACATCTGCAGACCCTGCAGTTCAAACACAAAGAAAATTGGAGTTGGCTATTGTACAACAGTTGGGGTCCCTGCCAATATAAGCACTTACCAAAGGAAGACTTTCCCTTTGGTCAGCTCACTGAGCTTCTGTGAGGCCTCCAAATTCTCATTCTCAAACTTCTGCAGGGCTGACATGACCTGCTGATGTTCCATCTTGAGCTTTTCCCAGAAAGGATTTGGCCTGTGGTAGGGCCTGGACCCAGAAGCAAAGAATTCCATGAATACAGGCCTCAAGGTTCACATGAATTCAGTGTATGTTCTATATTACTGGAATTAATAAGATGCCACATAATGGCTCCTATGTACTGGGACCTCTGGCTGCTTATTACACTTGCTCTTCTGGTCCCAGGCCAGCAGAGTCAGGGTGTTAAGAGGGATGCAGCTGGGACTGAATATGCTCCCTCAGGAGTCCTGCACAGCTTGCTATGGAGTTCCCACGAGTCTATCACAGGTCTGGGCCCACCAGAAACTGTGATGTTTCTGCTGTCTTCAAATAAGAGATTCTCATTCCAGGGTGCTTACATTGCCATGGAGGCTAAAATCACATCATGAGCATTTCAGAGGATGGGACTCAATATTATGACAGCTTCATAAATTCCCCCAGGGCATTCCCAGTTGACACCAAGGTGAACACACTGACAAAGGGCTATGCTACTCAAAATGGGGCTCCCAGTACACCAAGTAGACAACGCCTAGATACTGAGACAAGCAACACTTCATGCCCAACCATACACCCTTGATTGCAGGGTGAAGAGGGACACATATGCACAAACACACAAACACATAGATACAGAAAGATGGAGGAGAGAGAGAGAAAGAGAGAGAGAGAGAGAGAGAGAGAGAGAGAGAGAGAGAGAGAGAGAGAGAGAGTCAGAGGGAGAAACTGAGAGAGGGAAAGGTGATAAAATGCTCTCATTGAGATGACAAATTAATGCATTCAATTGTGTCATCTTAGAGAGGACCAAGAGCAGCAGACATCAGTACCAGGTCTTGCTGCCACATATTAAGATGTGGTACAAAAACTCTCCAGCTGCTACTAGAAGCATCCAGCACACAGTGTCTTTCCAGGCAAGTAAAAAAAAATAACAGCATTCTCACACTAACCACCACTTGACAGGATCTCTCCAAATGTATGCTGGGAATTCACACACTACTGCCTCAAATCCTGAGTTATGTGATTCAGGTCACAGGCTCTGATTTTCATTTGGAGGAAGCAGAAGAGTTTATGTCCCCATCTCACTCCTGCCCATTATGTCAGGTTTTGCTTCAGGGAAGCATTTAGAGAAATGGTTTTGGGCAAAGGGACACCCAACCTCCCAGAAGCCTGTTTCTTAGACAAAATAAACTAAGGGTGAAATTGTGGAACTGAGACAGTCACCATGGATTTTGAAACTGTAAATACCTGTTGTCCAAGGATCCTTCGGTTACAAAGATGAGGCGATCTCTCAGATCATTCCGTTGGGCGGTCATCACCTGGAGCTGAGTGGTCAGGCTCTCCACCTTCTGCTTCACTTGCTTCTTTGTGAGGCTGGTTGGAGTGGGTGGTGGCTTCTTGGAGGCCCCTGTGGGGAGATGAATGAACACAAGTGAACGTGCATTGTGACAAGACATAGAGAATGAACAGGTCACCCTGAGACCTGAGAAGGTGTTTGAGAAAGGATGTAAGCAAGCAATTCAGTGACACCCCAAAGAATTTTGCCCTGGACTGAGATGACCCCCCTGGGTATCTTAGGTCTCCCATCTCTGTGATGGGAGATAGGTGTCTCAGCCAGCTGATTTCCTCTGCTCCTTTAGCACATGTTTTTGGTAACTAAGGAGAGAGCCTCCTCAGGCTTATTAACAGCACTGCACTCTGCATTTAACTTGGCTGCAGGGTTCAAATGCAAGATAAAATTGACACAGTCCACAAGCCTTCAGGTTTTTAAAGATGCAAAAATATCCTGACAGGTCACTCTAAGCACATGGCAAAAATGGAGAAGCTACATAAGGGCAGAATATGGTCACCATCCTCACCAAGATGCCTCAGTGACAAAGGAGGGTGCATAGAGCTGGTTGGCTGTAGATAAATGAAGATACTGAGGTTGAAGTATATTGATGACCTGCTTTTTGCTGGGCACAGTTCACTTGAACTTCCTACCCTAATGCTGGCCTTTTTGTCCCCTCTCAACCCCTACCCTCCTGTAGGATTGAAAGGCAAGAGCTCCCAGCACAACAGCTTTGGTCTTACTCGCTCCTGATTTCTGGGACAGACAAATTACTCTTCTGGAATCCTTGAATTTCAGGAGCCATGACAAGCAGGAAAGTCCAGTTGGTTCCCAGAGACTCCTACCTCCTGTGTCCCATTACTGGAAGATTCAGCTCAAGCCCATGTCCTGCAGGAACATCCCAATTTCCTGCCCACAACTTACTGTACCATCTTCTGGACCATTTCCTTCTTGATCGTTCACATTGGAATGGCTGAAGGCCAGCTTGTGTCTGCCTCTCTCTGGTTTCTCTTCCCTCTCCTTTCTCTCGACCAAATAGAGTCCTAAGTCTTCCCAACATGTTCATTGCTGAACTGTAAGGGCACTGAACCAACTGTCCAAAGGCAGTTGGTGTTGCTACAGCACAGGTGACATCAGATAACATTCTAAAGTCTCCAGGATACAATAGAATGTCCAGGCATGAGACACCCCTGATGTCATGGGGAACTGACATTGCCTCCCTGCTAACCAGATCTCCTCATAACTCTTCACAAGTCAGGTTTCCCATTCTAGGAATCTCTCCTGGGACTCAAGAGAAATGCTTCAGTACCCTTTTGTTCCATAGCCAGAGATTGCTCTCTGATTTTTTGGAAATGCCTCAGTACTTCCATGAGGGAAAGAGAGTGAGTGGTCATCTCCTATTAAAGTATATATCCCGAAGGTAACAGTATTATAGACATTGATGTGAGGTATGATTCTCCACAAGTACCTGCATCTCCTTATTATCAAGAAATGATAGACTTAATGATAATGGAAAGGACACTTTTTAAACAACTTCCTGGTATGGAGCAAAAAACAGAAATTACAGCCAGTAGATAATATGCAGCTTATTTGATTTAGATTGATGACCATGGCAGATTGCGTTAGCATGTTACACGGTTTCTATAGATAATCACTACCCAGTACATCAGCTTTTAAGAGTTTCTGAAAATGCTCAATGGGTATGACCCAAAATTACATCTAAAAATCCTGTAGCGTGTGCTCTTAGTGATTTTACAGATTGTTCTTCAAAAAGACAAGGAGCATATATTTTATACACAAATTCTTCACACTCCTCAAAATGGATGGTACCTTCCCCTGACTGTACAGCGCAAAGGTAAAAGCTTACTATATTCCATCAGTTTGTAGCTAGAGTTTTCCTGCCTGGCCCACAGTCAGGAGAAATCTCTATCACCCGCCAGTCCCACAGCCGCTCAGACCCAACCAAGTAAACACACAGAGACTTATATTGCTTACAAACTGTATGGCCGTGCCAGACTTCTTGCTAACTGTTCTTATATCTTAAACTAATCCATTTCTATAAATCTATACCTCGCCATGTGGCTCGTGGCTTACCAGCATCTTCACATGCTGCTTGTCATGGTGGCGGCTGGCAGTGTCTCTTAGTGTATTTGGTGGTTTTCATCTACAATTATTCTTTCTTAGCTGTCAAGTGTCGAGATGTCTATACTCAGAATTGGATCACTATAGGCATGCATGAAGCCTCTCTCTAGCTAATCAGTTGCAGAGCACAACCTGTTTTTAGCACGGGGCATTTCCACAAAAATACAATTGTGTCTTATCTAAAACTTGACTTTGTCAAATAGCTCTTTATGGGTGTCCATGCTAGGACTCCTTTTACAACTTAAAATTGGTAATGGTCCTGCTTATACTAGCCAACACCTTCAAGAATTTTATACTTTATGGAATATTAACCATGTTACTAAAATCCCTTACTAGCCATAAGATCCAACTGTTGTAAAATGCTGTCTAATAATTAAATTGGCAAGTTTCAAAAATAAAAGGGCAATATTTCTGAACATAGGTAAAACTACACACAATACTACATTTAGCCAAGTTAACCATTAATTTTTCCACTTTCAAGTATAATTGTTTTCTGCTTCCCTTAAAGCATTTTGCCTTAAATTATACACAGACTAAAGAAAATGTTAAGTCAAAAGATAAACAAACTAATCTATGGAGAGGGCCTGATAATCTAATCTTGAGGCAAGGATATGTTTATATTTTTGTGGGAAATTCATGAAGTCCTAGATGGCTTTCGATCTGACCAGGATAGCATCCCCGAGACCACCTAATAGTGAAACAACTGAATGTAGACAACAAACCTATGAATGTGGGATGGAGAGTAAACCTATCTTTAATTTGGAGCAAGAGACATCAAGGTGCTTTCTGATCACTGAGATTTTGGGGTGAAAACAAGGACACTTATATCACTGAATCAAGAATAATGTTTTATTTCTTGACTATATTACATGTTAACACTAACCTTCTCAATGAAAGATATATTTTGATAAGAGGAATAAAAGGCACACCTATAATTGGAAGCACTAAGATGTGGTTTTGCCATGCTAAGGTTCATTTGTAAGTTTTTATAACCAATCCCAGGAATGGTTACTGCAATATAAAGAGAGGTGTCAAATATGCCGTATATGATCTGTAAAAGTACTATTACAGCAAAATATTAGCAGATACTAATCAAGAGATAGATAAAAAGATCAATACCCAAGCAAGGGTATTGGTAGAGTGATTGCACTACTTTATTAAATCTGACTACTACTCACAGTCATGAACACCAGACCTTACTTTGGGAAGCCTATATCAAAGGATTTTGCAGAGCTCTCACTGAGGCTAATTCATTTCAGGAGACACCAGGTAAACATTCCATCATTGAGATTTTAAGAAAAACTTGTAAGAAAACTTTTCCTGATAGAAGGAGTCCTAACTCTTCCTTTCTGGACATGAGAAAACAGTAGCTGACATTCTGCTCAGCAGGGACCTGACTCCTTGAACATTTTAACTTGTTCTGACCCACTGGTGTAATAACTCTGCTCCTCTAACCAGCACTATCATCTTTGTCTACACAGGGGACAATTCCACCTCAATACAGGATTTGGGAAAGCTCTGATTAGTCTGGAGGAGGCAGGAAGATCCTGAACACCCTGGATATCTACAGTTGCTAGTCTATAACCAGGAACAGTGATTTTTCATTTGATGTCTTTCTTCCACAAGACTTAGTAACAGGTCAAATGATTTTTACCTGGGAAGCACTGTGGTATAATCTTTAGTTCTTCTATTATCAGGTCTCTTGACTAGCTGGGTAAATAACTAGGACTTGACAGAAAATGGCTACAAAACAAGCAAGAG